ATGCTTTATGAATGCATTATAGTGTGTTATGAATGTGTTCATAGATTTTTATAGACATTCATTCATAGAAAGTGTTACTGAGATACTTTTACATTCCAGGCCTTGATCCTGTGACACCTGTTACACCAATATGTGTGAGTATAGGAAATATCTCCCAAAATCTCTTTACCCAAGGAAAAAGTGTCCTTCAGTTTTAGGTTAATTGTGATTTTCTATGTCTTTGGAGGAAATAAGACATCTTTTTTCAAATGTATTTTTATTTTTAATTTCACAGCATGTCCTCTTTAGTGTACAACAGGAATAAATACGTTTCCTTACATCAGTGAAAAGATAGATGCAAAAACAAAATGTCCACTGCAATGGACATAAATGAATGGGTGGGGTCTCAGGAGGATATAGCACATCTATGGTCACCTGGAAAGTGGTTCCTAGAGAGTGACACATTAAGGGCAGAGGTTCATTGTCCCCTGGCCATTAGCCGGTCCCAGCTGCCCCCGTAACACCGCACACAACCCCCCAGATGTCGGCGTGAGTGGGTGGGCTGGCCATATGCTGCAGTGGCCCCAGTGCATGGATAACGCCATCATTAGCCTAGCACATGTGCAGTGACTGCATTAGCGACCGGGTTTAGCGGCCGTGTTTGGGAGGGGGCGGGGTAGCTCTCAGAATCACGCACTCCGCACGTTTCCAACCAGCAGCTGAAAGCAGGTTCCCGCGGCCATCTGGCGGCCGAGATAATCCCCGGGGGCAGCGGACCGATTCACATCCTCACCGCTCAACGCCGGCAGGTCGACGGCCCGCTCGCTCACTCGCCCGCACGGCCACGGGGAAGCCACCAACCCGTGTTAAGGGCTTCACGTCACTCGCTTATCACATTCAGCTGGTTCCTCTTAAAAAAAATTACAGAGCAGCCTAAAAAATGGCTTTTAGTCTCAGAAGAATGTGACCATGCGAATGCTTCAGTAAAGTAGAAAATAATGCCTATCGGGATACAAATCAGAGATCACAAATGTAGTTGTACTGCATGCATGAGAGACTCTTGATCATAAACGATAATAGCGAAAGGTTATGGATTACCAGGAGGTGTTGGCTATAATTGCTGACGGTGCACTTGTTGGTTATATATAACACCTACCACTCCATTAGCCCTTCTTAACTCTGCACACCTCCCTCTCTCTGCCTCTCTTTCAAATGATCTAAAGTGCAGCACATTTTTTTTCCCTGAATTGTTGCATATGTGTGATATAATGCAATAATAAAAGTGGTAAAGATGAAAAATAAAATAGGGCAGAATCCATGGCTGGGAAAGGTGATGGACGTCAGAAAGGACGTCCTCTGGGGCCACCTGTGCCTCCTGTCTCCAGGGGTAGGGATCCGAAGGCTGTTCCTGCTCTCTATTTATATTACATTGTGGGGACCAAATGTTCCCCACAGTCTAATAAAAACCTGGTATTTTGACGTTGTGGGGACCATTTTTCGGGTCCTCGCAAAGATCTGTGAAATCAACCGAAAAACTAAAAATGCCAAAAGCCTTGTATTTTTTGTTTAGTTTTCCCCAGTTCTCCTCATATAAATCAAATATATTTTTTATTATATACACAAAGATATACATCTGTGTGTGTGTGTGTCTGTCTGTGTGTCTGTCTGTCTCTTTGTCTATCTGTGTGTGTATCTGTCTTCTCTCCATGTTGCCTGGGTTTCCTTATGCAGACTGAGTACTTTCAGGCAGGTGAACTGACATTTCTAAATTCTAAATTGCTCTTTATACAGTAATCTGAAAATGTCTTAGGGCAGCCAAAGCAAATGATGTTTAATTGATCTTCATGTTGGTGTAAAACTATGACTTTATGTCCGTCAAAGTGAGTTAGCTTAGTCGTTTCAAAACCTAATTTTTTCCACTTACCATTCAAGACACCCATATGTTTTTTGACTCGAACACTAAAAGAATAGAACAGAATAGCCTCTATTGTCATTGCACAACATACAATAAAATTTAAGTACCCCAGTGAGTTATTTAACTAATTAAATGAATCAATTAATTGAGTGCCCTGTGATGGGCTGGCGCCCCACCCTGGGCTGTTCCTCTGGGATAGGCTCTGGACCCCCCGCCACCCTGAACAGGATAAGGAATTTGAGAAAACGGATGGATGGAATGAATTGAGCGGATGGTGAAATTTAAGAAACACATGGAATGGCTGAGGTGTCCCTGAGGAGATGTTTGGGAACTGAAGCGTGTTCATCTAGCCGTCCAACAAGATAATCAGTAACTTTTTGGAGAACAGAAGACATTCTTGTTAGTTGTCATCGTGTTAATTTTAATTTGCATATGTTCTGATGCTAAATTGTGTTTTTATTCTGAACAGATATACAGATAAACAGGCTAGTTTAAGACAGGTGACGTTTTCCACCAATTCTGAGTGCTGAAAGGACCCCAGACCACAGGACACTCTGCTCAGGTACTGCCCTTAAAACCAGAGAAGTCCTGACAACGCCTGCTGGTACAGTTGAAGGTGGTGCTCCTGTGTTGTGCCTCCTCGCTCTGTCTTGTATGTTAGGCGGTTGGGGGGGGGACATGGCTCACAAAGGACCAGGCTCCCCATCCTGCCACAAGTGTAGAAGGCTGAGAGTGTTTCTCCCATAACTAGTGGGAGTGCAGGAGCTGAACGTGGCCAGTGTCTGACTGCGAGCAGCTTCTCACCAGCCGATATGATTGCTTTGTTAGGGTTGGACCTCCGGTAATGGGTAAACATTCAGTCAGTAGATTGTTCTTCATTTTTCCATGTGTTCGTCCATCCAACCATTTTTACTTAATTTTTCCATCCATCCATCCATCCATCCATCCATCCATCCATCCATCCATCCATCTATCCATCCACCATCTAACCCCTAATCTTGGTCTGGATTGCTGGGTTCCATCATTAACATGAATAACTTGTAGCCATGTTGTTTCCTGTCACACCAGGCTTGTTCACCCCCATTTTTTGCAACTCAGCCATTCTTCGGATCCTGGATAGTTTCTGTTCCTCTTTCCACGCCACTTTTTCTCTTCTCCCACTCCTTCCATGCGCTTTAGAGGATGGACAGCATGAGGTTCTATGGCGTATCAAAGTGATGCCTTTAAACATGAAGATATCAGGCTCTGAGGGTTTATACAACATAATGGGGGGGGGGGGGGGGGTGTTCCTGATGGTCATACTCCTTCATCAGCCGCCAGCGAGATTGCCGCGCGCTAATGCACGATGCTGCCCTTTGTCACACCTACAAATAACATTTCCAGCGCTTTCTGCGAGCGTGCACTGGGGAGATGAATCAACCAGAGACCCGTTTCAAATGACAGCTGCCTTTTTTTTCACCCGGAAAACCTAATTTCTTATGCAAAAAAAAAAAAAAAAAGCCATTTGTCTGATTTCCCTCCCCCTGGCCCCCTCTCCAAAGAATGTGCCGTAATTATCGGCTCCCCGTTCCCTGCTCCCCTGGGGGAGCACTATAATATTCCTTTTGGTGTTCAGCTGTCTTGTAGGAGTACCCCGCTGGCCTCTTCGCATTCGCACCCACCCAGTGCCCCCCCCCATTCCAGCCCTTTATCTCCTCCACAGACTCCAAAGCCCTGGGTGGCTGACAGAGATGTTTCCTACCCATCACTTTTGCATTTTCCACATTTATTTACGACGCTTTTATCCAATTCGACTGAGCATGCAGGGCACGTCGGTCCCTGTGGTTCACTGGCCTTTCACTAGGGCCCAACAAGCAAATCAATCAGTCGACCATGGGATTTGAACCTGCAATCTTATGATCACAGCCACAGGGTCGTAACCCACTGAGACCCCCCCCCATACTACGTGCGAACACCGGCCTCTAATATTCACAGACAGAGCGCGCAGGCCCGACCCAGAGAAAAGTCACGGTCCGAAGCATCAGCGAAAACACAGAGCTATTTCTGAGAAATGGGCCACCCAGTCCGTCCAGCTCAGTCCGGGCTCAAAGCGCGCAGAGGGCCGGACTCAAAGCGCGCGGAGGGCTGGACGGAAAGCGCGCGGGCGGCCGGACTCAAAGCGCGCGGAGGGCCGGACTCAAAGCGCGCGGAGGGCCGGACTCAAAGCGCGCGGGCGGCCGGACTCAAAACGCGCGGAGGGCCGGACTCAAAGTGCGCGGGCGGCCGGACTCAAAGCGCGCGGGCGGCCGGTCTCAAAGCGCGCGGACGGCCGGACTCAAAGCGCGCGGGCAGCCGGACTCAAAGCGCACAGACGGACGCTTATCGCTCACCGATTTGAACGTTTCCAGCCTGGGGGATTGCTCTGGGCTATGGAGAGATGTGACACTTTTACAGGTGTAAAAAATGTAGTACCCAGGTTATACCACTCCAAAAGACATCAGTCTCAGATCACGTTTTTTTTTTCTTTTTTTGCATTTGAACACAGAATTGTGCCCTTTTCCTTATTCTATATATAAAATATGAACCTATTTATAGGGATGTGTCTGTGTGTGTGTGGCTGTATGTGTGTCATTCCTAGACCCCTCTCTCCAGCTGTTGACGGGCCGTGGTGACCTGTATTGTACAGCATGGGATCACATTTGTTTGTCCCAAGAGGTGGTGCTTGGGGGGGGGGTTTGGGGGTCGCATGTGTACAACTTGGCTGAACAGACGGCAGACTTGTCTTGAGCTGGTTGATCTGTTGAACGCATATTACATCTTCCTGTTTCCAATCTGGCCATATATGTACTAGCAAAATTGACTAATAGCCTATGTTTGTGTGATGCCACATAAAAAATAATGGTTGTAAGGCTGCTTGGTTTTTAATATCATGGATTATATATACAAAGGCCTAAATTATGATACATGTGAATCAGATTTGTAACCTAAAAAGACTCAGTGCCTGTTTAAGCTTTTATCAACAGTTATAGGCTTCCAAACAAACGTTTTAATCAATCGCGGTTTACTCTGATGGCTGTGCATTTCGGAGCTACCTCACTTAAGGCAAACTCCTGGCCGGTAACGAAGACGGTAGGCGGTCTGTCCGAGCTTCCTGAAAAGCAGTATATTGTAATTCAAATTAGATGCATGAACAGGCAGCCGCGAGTGAAATATGCGTTGGAGCTGCAGTCACAGGGCAGGTGTCAGGATGCGATGAGCAGGGAGTGAGTGAGTGACTCTCCCCTCCTCCGCCGTGTGATGACGGACCGACTGTAGCACCGGAGCGGCGGCTTTGAGTCACTCCTCAGGAGCAACAAAGCGGCCACGGCAGCACTGACGCAAAGCGTCCGGCGGTGCATCGCGGCGTGAGGCGACCCGGACCTGGGGACTGAACCATCGCCTGAATTAGAGACGCGGACGACACCGGCAGCATGAGAAATGAGCCTCGATGAGGAGTGAAGGGTGTCGGCGGCATCCAGGACTGCGATCCGTAGCATCTGGTCCAGAGGGATTAGCAATATTGCTGCGCTGAGATGAAATTGTGAAGGGAGTTATGACAGGAGTTGCTGCAGGGTGCCGCATTGCCTGGCCGCTTGATGGTAGGATAGTGTAATACCTGCATGGTAATTGTGGTGTTTGGGTCTGTTGGGTGGGGATGAATGAATGATCGGCCTCGTTATTATTGTGTATAGTCAGTGCGGTGTGGGTTATCGGTGCGCTGGATATTACTGGGAACTGCTACCTTCCGTACCGCATCCTAGCAAACGGGGGCCACGGCCAATTCAATCGTGCATAGAGGTTGCATGGATTCACATACATTTATGTCAAATTTGAAAGCGTGTTAGATGAAATATATGATGTGATATCAATGCCTGCAGAGTAAAACCCACCTTTCAACGTGTTTCATTCTCAGGAAGACAAAAATACAGGTCCTGATCTGAAATAGTTCTGGTTTGGAAGGGTCCAAATACGTGACGCATTTATTGCTGGGGATCATTTCTGGCAGCTGTACCGGTTCGATCTGTTTAACTCTGCGAGGCAAAAGCTTTAAAACAAAGGGAAAATGACTCATTTACAAGCGGGGCTGTCCCCCGAAACGCTGGAGAAAGCCAAGGTGGAGTTAAAGGAAAACCCCGACACCCTGCATCAGGACATCCAGGAGGTGAGGGACATGATCATCACCCGTCCAGACATCGGCTTTCTCAGGACAGACGACGCTTTCATCCTGCGATTCCTCCGGGCGCGGAAATTTAACCACTTCGAGGCGTTTCGCTTGTTGGCTCAGTACTTCGAGTACCGACAGCAAAACCTCGACATGTTCAAGAACTTAAAAGCGACCGATCCGGGCATCAAGCAAGCCCTCAAAGACGGATTTCCGGGGGTTCTGTCCAACCTGGACCGCTATGGCAGGAAAATACTGGTCCTCTTTGCCGCTAACTGGGACCAGAGCAGGTACGGAGATTTACCATTTATCATTATAACATTGCGCTTTAAGTGCGGCGATTAGCGCTGTTCTTTCAGAACCACAAACGCGGATTCGAAGCCGACACGTTTCCAGCTAAAGTGTGGATTTCTGCGAATAGACATTAACAATTTGTGTTGTTTCACGCCGAAAATGTATATTTTGGGGTATCTGTCACAGCACATCCTGTTTACGGTAACACTTAAGCATTATTGATCACGGAGAAGTAAAGTTGACTCACCACTGCTCCCGCCCCCAAACACCCCCAGCACCCAGAAGATGTTAAAACCCGTGTTGTAAATTACATAACTGTGATAAATGTGCACGGTCTTCAATACACCAGCAATCCAGGGATGTACGGGGGAGTGGGTGGGGGTGGATGATGGTAATAGGGGCTTTTGAGAATGGGTAGAAGAGAGGATGCCAATTAACACGTTTTGCTTGTCATCTCCCATTCATTTTAGCCATTAGAGGTTAAAATGAATAGTTTACATTTTTGTTTTAGAATTCAAGAGCCCTGTATTTATACAGATAGCTACAGTAGTGTTTTGTTACGAACATTAGGGTATTTGTACCACCGACTAGCAAGCCTCCTGCAAATAAAATCACATCTCAGCTGCAGTTGTAGTCCTTGCTGGTGAGAAAGGCCAGATGTCTGCTCATTTGTTCAATCAAGCAACCAAAGCCAATTGAATTCAAAGAATTGCTTTATTCCTATCTGGATTAATTAATAAATCTCTTGCTCCAACAGATAGACGTTTCATCCATTATTTATTGTTTAATTGACTGAAAAGGCAGTTTTTATGGCCTATATATGACATGTTGAATATCCATCACTGGATAAACGACTTTGAAATTCAATTTACTGCACTGACTGGTCATGTATGGTCTAAATGATTTTTTCATAAATTCTATCAATCTGTAGCCTACTGTAGATATTGATGGACCAGACAGAAAAGTAGAGTTCTACAGTAAGGCTCTGTAGGGTGTGTGCTGATGGCTTTTATCTGTCGCAGGTATACATTTGTGGATATATTGCGGGCCATTCTGTTGTCTCTGGAGTCCATGATTGAAGACCCTGAGCTTCAGGTGAATGGATTTGTGTTGATTATCGACTGGAGCAATTTCACCTTCAAGCAAGCGTCAAAGTTGACTCCAAGCATGCTGCGACTGGCTATTGAAGGCTTACAGGTGAGCAATGCAGCTTCACTGTTATTTGTTGAGCCCTGGCTTTACGCTTAGCTCTGTCTCTCTGGCTTCCAGTCATGACAGCGCGGTCGGACAGCACCGCTGTGCCCTTGTGGAGCTGTACGTGCTGGTAAATTATTAAATCGTACGATGTGCAAGGTGCACAAACACGTCTGCTCTGCAAGTTAAAAAAAAAAAACACCATCCAGAAGCGTACTGAAATGTTCAGACACCGTTAAAAGAAATCCTGTCTCTAGTGGAAACTCGCGGGTTGGTGTTTGGAATCATTATAGTAAATATTGTGAAAATGTGGAATAATTCTGGATTATTCTGAGAGCTGGAGAAGTAAACAAGATTCTCCTTCAAAACCACTGCCCCTGTTTTTCCCCGGTGAAATAAGGTCAAGGCAGTGCTATATGGTCGCATTAAGGAAGGGATCTCCATCACGACTGAAACTGTCACCATCCTGTGCTTACGGTATCATCACAATTCCCTGGACAAAACCTTCACATACACTGTCCTCTTCTAATAGTGAATAATGCACAGCCTCCGCACCAACCACCCCCCCCCCCCCCCCAGGCCTCAACACATATTCTGGGTATCTGCCTTTAATTTGCATAACACGGGGGTATTTTGTGCTCTCAGACATGTGGAGGGCAAAATCTTTGTGGCTCTTGGGGGAGCAGTTTTTACCTTGATATTGCATTATTCCGTTTGAAGATTTGCATGCGGAACGAAACGTTGTCTTGTGCTATTCGTCTTGGAGTCATATTATTTTTTTGACCTCTGGGGGGGGGGGGGGCTTCCCTTTACTTCGGGGAGAGGATCCCCACTGTGCTTGGGAACCACGCCCAGTGTACCTGCATCTACACACTTCAGCTGGGCTCTTTAACCCCACCATGAGTACAAGGCTGACTTGGTGTTCTTGCCGGATTTCAGAAGGACTTTGATTAGCACGCTCAGAACATTTTGCCAGACATAGACTAATTAATACATTAATCTGTAAATATTTAATAACAGCCATTAGTATCCTGGCTTCAATGCTGAGGGTGGAGGGATCCAAATATGTTACTTATACGCTCATTGATGAAAGAACATAACTACACATAGATATTCCATTAAAAAAAGACATGTATTACTATTTTGTTATTGCTATTAAGAGAAAAGGACTTACATAAAATATTATGTGGCCAGATAGGTGTTTTATTGTCCTGTTATATTTTATTGGCGGGGTGAAGTGCAGCGATGGTGATTTCCCTGCTTGTGGAGCATCACTTGCGTCAGCTGACACCCACCACCGAGGGCCAAAACAGAAAACGTTAAGTGCCACCCCAGAGTCACTTACTCTCTAGGCTCTTTGGGGAACTAGAGCTTTCCAGCAGATATTCTTCATTTCGACATTGCCGTGTGTCAGACTTCGTCACTGTCGTTTGTTTCCCACAGAAGAACCACTGAGTGATGTCCTGCTACCCTATAGTGCTGTGTTTCACAATCTAGTCCTCAGCTACCCACAGCCGGTCCACGTTTTTGCTACCTGCACATTTTCCTACCAGGACCTGGGAGGGAGCAAAAACGTGGACTGTCTGTGGGTCCCCGAGAACTGGATTGGGAAACACTGCAATAGTGACCCTGCGGTCCAGGGACTTAGACTGCAGACAGACTGCTTGCCCTTATGAAAGCTTCTGAACTTCCTCAACAGCTTCTGGAAAAAATGTGGGGTGAAAAATGTGAGTTGTGCAAGATGTCCTGGAAAGTGGCACCAATTATATATTTACATCATGGCATGATGCTTACCAGGAGAAATGCGCTGTGGTAGGATGGATATTTATTCACAGGAAGTGACAACACGAGATGGAGAAGGCTGAGGCCCAATCCGACTCCTCTCCAACACAATGAAGAGGTTTTAATTACCTCCGCCCTTTGAGGAAATGACGGTTAACAGTATTGACCGTGTTAGACATCCCTAACCTCCTCTTGACGAGTAATGAGGAGTTTTAGCATAATCCAGCATAATCCTCCATCCAGCATGTCCTCTGTCATTCCGTTTTCTGCCCATCTACCATGCCTCAGGCTTTCAGACATGGCTAGTGAGCTACAGGCCAGTACTTTGACTTTGCGCTGCAGCGTTTTGTGTGGGTTACATTGTTCAGTGAGGAGTCATCTGCTGATTGCGCGGGTGGGTGTTGCTTTCAGAGAGACGGTGGAGAATCGAACATCTCAGAAAGGCTATTAAATATCAGCTGCGGTGAAATATCAACCATCATCTAGCTCGGCGTTATGAAATTGCCTGTGGGTATTAGGGAACGTTGCCTATGCTTTTGTTTTGATCTTAGTGTGAAAAGGTGAGAAAGTACAAAAAACAGAAATGTAATGTCAAGAAACTCTATCTTAAGTATTTTCCTGGCTGCTTTTATCACTTCCTGTTCTGACAGTTAGAAGGTTTCCACATACCCAGGCAATTTCTGAGCAGCTAGCTCTGCAAAAAGAAGATCATTCTGAAGTGTCTGTAGATAATTATTGAAAAAGTGCCTTAAGTTACCCGAAGAAGATGGATTGAAAGACTTTATCTCATTTGTAACACTTACGCTCTTATTCTGAATCATCTGCCCTGAACAGTAGCGCATTTTTCCTCCAACAAAGACTTAAAGGGAAAAAGCTGGTTATTGATGTTGCCGGGGAAAATGCAAATGATTATCCTTGGCGGGGGATACGTTGTTTTAAACGGGTGCACCTCGCCTCCGTCTTGGACGTGCCTTTTGTCTGTCCTGGTCGCGAGGGGCCTACGCTCCGCAGCCAATCACACGGAGCCTGTCTCCCCCCTCCCACCCTGCCACGGGTTTCCCTGGCAACCTCTCCACCCGCCGCGCTATGCGCTCTCCAGATGGGCTGCATGAGCTAGCAGACGCACCAGCCCAGAAACCAGTCTGAACCTGCGAGAAGCACGTCCTGCTTCTCCACAGTGCAAATCTGAAATTCAGCCTCCCTTTATCCGCTTGCTATCTGACCTGTTTACCCAATGTTTTGGTAATTAAGTCAATATATAAGATTATAATAATTGACAATATGCCTAAAATTAGCTCCGCATCAATATAAAAATGTTACTTAATTTCTTTTCGACCCACTTCCAGAATCCTGGGATAATATAGAGACCCTATTGAAAGGGTATATATTTCTTACCAAAACTGGCTATTGATAAACTGGTGCTTTACACAGGTGCTGTAATCAGACCATGTGTTGCCACTGATGTGTGGAGGTTCCTGGTGTCACTGGCAGAGATGCGGGAGGATTTCAGCAGGCAGACAAGCCCAGCTGCCTCGCATGGACGCTTGTAAAGCGGTTTTGCTATCAAACGCTGTACCTGACATTCTCTGATGCACTGGCGCTGTAGAATGAGTCCTTCCATACGTATTTGTATTAAAAATAATTCTATTTGGTTTATTTATATAAAGCGACTTTTCAAAAGGAGCTGCTCGAAGCGCATTTGGTATAGATATATAAAGAGCCCCCCACCCCAAGAGCCAGCAGATAAAGCCAGGAGGTAGAATGAAAACCCCGGGGGTCAATTTAGTGAGGGAGAGAACCTCTGGGGGGGAGGGGTAGCTGGCTGCCCACCGCCCCTGAACGTGACCATCCATCCTGAACATGACCACCCCTCCTGAGTGTGACCACCCCTCCTGAGTGTGACCACCCCTCCTTAGCATGACCATCCCTCCTGAGTGTAACCACCCCTCCTAAGTGTACTGACCCTAAAAAGTTTGGCCCCTATATCAGCATCTAAATAGGTGATGTTCAGGCAGCCCAACATCATCCTTCTCAGCTAAGGCTTGCCATCTGGATGAGGTGGGGTG